CACACGGTAACATGCGCGTGTCTTTCAAAGCAGAATTAATAAAAATATATTTTTTTCAGGCGCCGTATTTAACTGTAATCATTAATAATATGCCAGTCGTGTTCTGGCTACGCATGCAGCAGCGCTGACTAATGACGCTAACCAATCAGAAGAGTCGTTTGATACCACGTGACCAGCGTATCAGGCTGCTGCGTCACACGCCATCACGGCTTGCGTCTGTCAGAGCACGTTTGATCGCGGGGTATATATATATATATATATATATTTACAACTTCCTGTGATTATGCAAAATATCCCATAAACCTGTAAACCTTCAGCAAATGTGAATGGTCCTGCTTCTGTTTGTGAGCATGCAATAATAACCATTCAAACTATTTGGGCACACAATGGAGCTATAGAGTAAAAGAGGTGCCATTATTCTCCTCATCCGTCAAAAACAGAAGCCTTTCCACTTGTGTTTTAATGCTGGGCTTTGCTTGTTTAGCTTATGTTATAAGTGGTTACATTTTGATAAATAAAAAGATGCAATTAAACCAGACACGTTATAACCTCAATATTCTAGATTTAACTACATGCATTGAAAAGTGTTCTGTGGCAGACGTTTGGTGATCTTGCGTCAGTAACTGGAGTGTTTGTATGTTTTGTGAAGCTTGTTCATGAGTGTCTTGTTTGTCCTGTTCATCTGGTTTGATGGTTGAGTTTCTAGTTAGTCCTGATCTGTTAAACTGCTTCATCTCAACAGCACATACTCCCACCTGACGCATGCACACGTGTTTAACTGACTCCCTAAACTTTCCCAGGACTGCTGACACTCACTACAGAAAGAGCCATTATTCATAAGTCGTGTGTGGATTCAATTAGATGCACCACAGCAAGATAGAATACACTAATAAATAAAAGGGCAGTGCATCTGAGTCTTCAATGCACAACATGTGAGATTAACAACATTAATCATAAACAGTGGCATTGACTGAATGCACACAGAGAAAATCATACGTTTCTTTCACAGCACACTGAAGTCGGAGTAACATCTGGAGATGCCCAGCTGTTAATGAGCTTTGAATGCAATAACACAGTCATCGATCCTGAAGCGCTGAACCAGAAGAGGCTTTTCAGTCATAGTTTAGTCAGATAACACCGAGCCGTCTCGTAAACGTGGAGGACTTGCCAAAAAGTATAGTAGTTTATTTTATTAAGTATACTGAAGTACATTTCAAGTATATGTGTAAGTATACTGTATGTGTAAGTATACAGATATCAGTGTACTAGTAGTATTCTTGTAAGTGTACTATTGCAATACTCCTTGTGACTAAATTGGCCCACTTTCTAGTATATAAACGTATACTTTTAAGTATAACAGTAGTACACTTTGAGTACACAACGAGTTTACATCAATATTGTAGCTTGTACTGTAACTATACTATAGTTAGTTTACTAATTAAATACTTGTAGTAGCATCTTTAGTACACTTTGAAGTATAGTCTCAGTAAACTAGTTTAGTAGTTTTATACTGCAAGTATACTCGTACGTTTTCTTTAAGTATACTACTATGTCCCTATTTAGGTATTATTTTGTTACATGAATATCTGAACATACAAAACATCGAAAGCAAGAACAGGGTATCTGCTTGTAAACAAAAACATGTTATTCTAGCTTCATGCATTCTTTTTATAAACATGAATGTATTTTTGTTTCATTAAAAAAAAATAAAGAAATAAACAACATTTTGAACAAAAAGCTGAAAAAGACTATGAATTGGATTCAGAATGATGATAAACCCCCCAAAGCTCGAGTCATTATCACCTCTTCATTGGTGGACATTTTATTCCATAACGTTGCACAGTTTTGATGCTGTTTTATGTCTGATGATCGTGTGAGATTACACGTGGAAGCGTCTGTTGTTTCGGTTTCTTCTTCACTTGTGTTTGTTTGGATATTCTGTACAGAAGATGTGTACTAGCGCCCCCTACAGTATAACAATGAAAACACGGATTATAGGAGCACAAGTATACTGTAGCTCAAATATATTTAGACCTTTTCTAAGCATAAGTCAAGTATACTTAAATGTCATGTTAAGTATTCTTCTGAGAAGTACGTAAAAAGTAGACTAAAATGATACTTTCCTGTTTTTGGTTTAAAAGAAGAAAACTAATAGCACACTTGAATAAACTTTACTTTTGTAAGGGTTGTTGCAGCTAGTTTTCAGTATAATTCACTCATGAACGCAGTGGTGGCTCTGAAACCAGTTAATATCTGTTCCAGTTCAAATTAACAGCTAGTGTAATATTATAACTTATTGAACAGTAAATAACTCGTCACTGTTAGCACATTCATTGCTCATAGGACA